TATACCTTGCAGTGCTTTAATTGCTAAAATATACATTCATCTTGCCTCAATATATATATATAAATTACTAGTTTGTATTATGTTTTTTAACAGAAAAAGGATATAAAACAAAATAATACTGTATTTTATGAAAAAAAGTGTGTATTACATTGTTCAAAATCTTTTTTGCCAGGAGTTGTCTACGGAAACACGTACACATAGTATGTTTTTTAATAAATTGATTTTAAGAACTTTAATAGCAGCATGTTCCATACAACTAGGTATTCATTATTTTCTTGTTCAGGTGTTGTAGGTATTCATGTTCTTGTAGGTATTCGTTATTTCTTGTAGTTTTTCTTGTAGGTATTCATTAGTTCTTGTAAGTATTCATTATTTTCTTGTTTAAAAGTTAAAAAGAAAATTATAAAATGGACTTTAAGTTCATGATAGTGGAAAACGTCCGCCCAGATGAACTTCTAAAATCTATTTTCCTAAAATCAATTACAGCTCATCATATATTTTGCAACCTTTGAAATTACTTTCTGGTTTGTCGGAAGTCTTAGCAGACGTATATAAAGCTGTAATTTGATGACCAAATTATTTCTTTCACATTAAAATAAAAAGTCATTAATATTATCAGTAAAACCCTCTGAGTTAGACTAAATAACAGCCTCAGAAATCATTCTTGCTGAGGATGATTGAATTCACCAATAGCAAAAAGATGTTTCAGTAAATTTTGATCGTTTTGAAACAATACCATTTTGTTTTCTTTTTTAATTCAAGAAATGAACTTTTTTTACATTTTGGGGTGTTCTTAAAATTTTAATTTTTGTTAATATCTTCATGAGTTGTTAAAACAATTTAAGCTCACGTACAGCTCTCTAAATAAGAATATTTTTTAAATAATATAAAATCATTACATTTATTATTACTTTTTTTTTTTAAACACTATGAAACTGCAACAGTATTTTAATAACTCGTCAGCTTTTATATCTGTCTGAGTAATCTTTGTGACTTCAAAATATGATATTAAGAACGCTAAAGACGTAGCATTTTACAAGAGTGTAAATTGACGTCTATTAACTGTGTCTAATCGTTTCGTAAGAATAAAATTCATAATATTTTTTGAGTTGTTATAATTTATCATTCATATTAAATAAAGACGTTTAACGAAACTTTTCTTTAATAACGCTTTTAAGTTATAATCTATTATAATTATTATAGCAATTTTAATAGCTAATTTTTGTGGGTTATTTAACTAATTATGTAATTTTGGGAAGGGTATAAATAAGGATCAAATACTTTATTAGTTCACAATCATCTGCAATTAACATCTTTCTTGTATTTGCTATCCTTATTTTGTGATCGCTCTAAATCAAGAAACAGATATTGAATGCAAACATTTTTCACGTGTAAAAAAAACGGTGAGTGGAGTTGAAGGTTTCATCTTTAAATGTATTGTAACAGAAAAAAATTAAAGGGGGTAAATTGTGAGGGGAAGAAATCGTGTTTGCCAAAACAGCCTTTTTACTAAATACATTAAAAAATTATTTATTCATTTTTAAGAAAGAAAAACACGCTGATATATTGGAAATTATACAAAAAGAAAAATTCGAGAAAAAGAAAGAAAAGGAAAATTTACCAAAATACGAGTTTTTAGTGTTAAATAAAAACTTTTTATTTAACACTAAAAACTTACTTGAAAATCAATTCAGGTGTTAAATGAATTGGTTTTAGTTGAAAAGCTTTCATTCCAAGTTAAGATTTAATATGTGACTTCTGTTCTTTTTTTTTTTGTACTTTACTATTTGGTTCAAAATTAAACAAACATCTTTTAGCAAAGTAACCTGTAGTGGCCCCCACTACAGGCTACTCCTTTTTTTTTTTTTTTTAAATTTTTTGTTGTAAATCGTGGTACAACCCTCTCTTAACTCATTAACTCCGAAACACAAACCTTGACAAGCAAGGCCGCTGCGTGGAGAAATTAAGTTGAGCGCGGTACTTCCAGGGACATGGTAGGAGTCAAACTCCGAACCACTTGCTTCCAAAGCGAGCGCTCTTACCACTACACCACTACCGCATTTGATTGCCAATGTAGAGCAAACTTTAATGTACCTAACTTTAAATGTTTAAGTTTTTTTACTCGCAGCTAAAACTGCATTTCATCTCTTTTTGGATGATATTTGGACACTATTCAATAAGTTTATTTCAAAATATTTTTTAAACAATATAAATAGAATAAAAAATACTGTCTGAAAAATATAAACTTTATATAAATAATGCATATACGCAATAGTTCAAAATAAATTTTTGTCGCTGTATCGTTTAAGAAAATACGCAAATTTTGTTTTTCGCAAACTTACTGATTGATTTCGATACTTTAATGCACTTTGGTATTTCTGAAATTAAATTTTTTTTTTACAATAATAAATTACAACAATTTAAAATGTTTTATCTAAACAAAGTTTTGAAAAAAACTAATTTTTAGCTATAAGGCTTCAGGGATAACTTTCTCGTTATGTCTCGCTGTCCCGATATGCCCCGCTCTACCTTAATAGATGAATTAGGAAAAGATGGCTTTTCTACAAAGGACAATGCGTCAACAGTCTTGGCTGCTGAAGTTGCTAAAATTATGAACATAGTTCACCTACGAAGTTTACGTAAAGTTCACAGCAAAGTTTCACCTTCGAAGTTCACAATAGTTCACAGCAAAATTAATATATGTTTAAGTTTTTATAAATATTTAAATAATGATTTAATTTGATTTAAAGCGACTTCATCAGAGTTAGGAGGCCGTTTGAATAAAAACAAATGACTGCGTTTACTCAGCGATTTTGGTGTAATTACTCATCTTGACGTAAATATGAATTTGAGCAAAATAGCCCACGTTTTTCACGTAATAAGCCGGGTGAATAAAAATAAGCAATCGCTTTTACTCTGAGTTTTTTGAGTAACTGTTAAGCTTTACGTGAATAAAATTTTTAGCAAACTCGCTTAAATTTTTATACACATAAAGAACGAATCTTCTACTGCCAAAACAAATACAGATCAAATTTAAACGCGAAAAACAAGATGTGCTCATAATAACTCGCAGTAATTGATGTTAGGTCAGCCGTTGCATCTTCAGCATGACGGCCGAAGGTAAGGCCAAGTCTAACAAAACATCTTACATATGGAACATACGGTGAGAGCATCAGTTAGAACCATTCTAAAATTATTACTTAGAGAGGTAGTGTAAATGTTGGTTTCAGAAGCAGTCAATAGGGGTAAAGGGGCAAAGGGTAATAATATTGAACAACTATATTTGTAGATAGCGGTTCTCCAACTGTTAAAACAAAAATTCAACCGGAGCAAGCAATCTAAGTAAACCATATCCCACATCAGTCAATTATGGGTCAGATATAGCACCCTCAGCTATTAGACCTACCAGGGCCGTATTAAAGCAGTGGCTTAGAAAGCTTTAGCCAAAACTGTCTACTTAAAAAAAGAAAAAATATATAAAAATAGGTCCACCTACACTTGTAAAAATATATTGAAAAATAAAATGACCTAACTAACCCTTGCTGTCTGGACAGGTGGAGAACGGGGGTAAAGGGTGGTCATAAACATGACAAAAATGTGACTTTTAAAAATATTTATTTTTCCAAAATGACAATGACATGAAACATAAAATAAAACTTTAAGGATGCAGATTGAAAACAAAAGTAAAAGGTCAACTTAAAGTCGTAGTAGGTGTTCCACAACCGTGAAATGAGAATATTGATTTTTTTAGGAAAAAAGTATAAAGTGAAACGTGTTAGATGTTGCCGAATTGCATTGGCATATTAAAATGGCATATTACTGAAAGCAATTTATGTTTTTTATATATTTTATTTTTTTTTATATCTATATATTTTTTATTTATATATTTTTTATTTATATATTTTATATTTATTTAATTATTTATATATTTATTTATTTATACATTATATATTTATTTATATATTTATTTATTTATATATTATATTTATATATTTTATATAACTATATATTTTTTAAAAAACATTTGGTAATTTACAATAAAAATTGAAACTTTTTATGTAATATATGGTAATTTTTATTTTGAGAGTTCTTTTCAGAGTCAGATTTTTTTTCTTCACTGCATTCATATTCGTAGTATTAATTTATAATATCATTACGTCATTAAAATATCATTACATCATAAAAGACTTCCTTTATATTGAAATATTTTCGTGCATTTTGATTACCGTAGGTTTGTTCGTACTTCGTAATAACTTTTATTTTGATCTTTTAATTAAAGTTGTAATACCTACTACTTCATCGATCTTTAAGTGGTTGTTTGTTTGTTTTTTTCCTGCTTTTTGGTTACTTTAGATTCTTTAATGCTTTCTTTTGATTATTTTTCATTGCTTTTTTATGTATTTTTTTTTCTAAAAAAAAATACTTATTAAAAAAAAAAAATTTTGTAAGGGAATTCTGTGTTTATTTTATATCAGAATTCTGTAAAGGTGGTACACCAGGAAGAAAAATGACAAAATAATTTCTTTTTTTGTTTCTTTTTCAATTTTATGAAAGATTTAAGTTGACTTTTTAAAAAAAACTGTTGACATACTTGTTTAAATATATAGCTTAACTTTGACCTAGTTAAGCCCCAATGTCATATAAAACTCCCTAACAACCTCACAGCAACAAATTTTTAACTTGTTTTAGAAATAATTTTGAACTTAATTTTTTAATATCAATTTTGAGATAAAAGCATAAAGTCATCAAGAAAGAGTTGTTCTTGTTTTTCTCGCTCTAAACTGCATTGATAGAAGTCACAAACCTTATTAAACAGAGAACAAACAATCTTGTTGCTTATTTAATTTTTTTTGTTAAGAGGTCGAATAAAAAAAAATTTATCTAGAAAAGTTAAAAGAAAGTGGAATGGATGTCATCCTAATAAAAATTATTCTGTTTAGCATCATGAAAATGAAATTCATGAAAAAAGCGGTTAATGTTATACTCTTTCATTTTACTAGCTTTCCTGATAATGATTATCGACACCAATTTTGCCCTAGAAATACAACTAAATCATGGTGTAAGTACTAAAATAATAGCAAGAAAAATATAAATTCATCTATGTCAATTTCACCATGGATAAAAAATTTAGTTCTTCCTATTATTCAAGACCTACAAGCTCTACCCGAAATAAGCAAAACGCAACAACAACAACAACAATAATAAAATACAAGATGGCGATTATGTATGCTTTTTATTTTGTTATTATTTTTTTTTAAATTAGTTTTAAAAAATTATTTACATATAAAAAGTTAGTTTTTTTTTTTAATTACTTTAAAAGTGTTATTAAAAGTTTCATCTTCCGATTCCCAATCGGAAAAATCATTGTTAAAGTCATTTACTTCATTTACTATGTCATTATTTTCATAAAAGACACTATTTGAATTTATGTAACAGTTTTCATAAGATGATGTTTTTTTTTCATTGACATCTTCTTTTTTCATGCGCGTTTGCCAACGGACGTTAGCTGCTGTACAATTTGATTTTAAAACTTTGTTCGTTTTTTTTAACTTTTTATTTTCATGTTTTCTTAAAGCAAACATATTTTGTGGAGAAGCAGGAAGATCAATTTTCATTCTGGTTTGCCATTTCGGTGTTTTATTGGTGCTATTCATTTTTTTTCTAAAAAAAAAAACTTTTATTATTTTCAAAAAATTCAACTATAAAAGAGGTTATGATTATAATAATTTTAATTTGATAATGTGATATTTATGCCTGAAAATGTGAATGAAATTTAAAATAAATTATTTTCATAGTTCAATTTGTTAATCCATGACTTAAACAAAGAAAGAATGTTGTTGGATGCTAATCGTCAGGGAGACTTATGAGACTTATCGCACGCGCAAAATGTGCGTGCAACACACGCAGTGTTGGTGAAAATACAAAATCTCATGAGGAAATTAACATAGAACTAACTCTTTCGAGGTGGTCTCTAATTGACATTTCAAAAATTTTAAATATTAAATTCTAAAAACTTCCGACGGAGTCTTATCCTAAAAACCAGCGTAAATTCCTCTTTTACGTCAAGCCTCGTAATGTTGAAACACGTTTAAGGACTCGCTACTATAGTCAAATAACCTACCTTTTTTCAATAAAAAGGTGTAAACTAAAATATTTTTAGAAAATTTAAGACAAAAAATAGCGCAATAGGTAATCTTTAAAATATATTTATATAATTGTTTAATCATTATGTAGTAAGGCGTGGCTCATTATAAAAATGTGTTTAATGCGTCTTGATGACAATATTTCTAATATAAATTAATTTATTGCGGCGGAATAATACAGTTAAAACAAACTCATCAACTAAGTGGTGTTTTAAACATGCTTTCTTTTTAGGCGATCATTAGCCTATAACTCTGAGATACTTCATACAAAGTTTCTTAGAGTATATTTGGCATATGCGTATTACTAAAAAATAAAACAAAAACGACTACCTTTTTTCCGCGGACACTTTAAACACTTAGGTGATTTGACTTCTGTATATTTTTAAAAAGAAAGTGCAAAAACACATTTATATGAATTTTATATTAAAAATAAAAAAGGAAAGGTGATAAAAAAAAACAAACAAGGTGACTAAGTTGTAACCAAGGAAAGTGCAAGGTCAGGTAATAAAAGCAAAATACCAAGAGTCTCATACATATTTATTATATAAATATGCCAGGAGTCTCAATCATGTTTATTATATAATATCTCATTTATGTTTATTATATAATATGTAATGAACCTTATCATTAAAGTAAAATAATTCCAATTAATTACAATCCAGAAAACACCTATATCTAATTAGATAAAAGGTGTTAACAAATAATAATTTAATCCATTAAATTATGGCGGCTAAAAAAAATTTGACAAAATCTTGTCACGAAGCAAAACAATAGTTAATTTATATATAAATTGAGAGGTATTTTTGTTTTTAGCACAGCTTCTAATGTGCAATATTAAGAAGGCGATAATTTGCAGTCTAAATATATTAAATAAACAAAATTAATAAGGCCTTTCCCAGTAAACATTTAGTCTAGTAAAAAACGTCTTTAATATTTCTTTTAGACGTACTAAAGTTTTTTATACTAATTTTTATATCTAAAAGACGCGTTTTTTAAACTAAATGTTTAATGGGTTTATCATTTAGAATAAAAACTTAACTGTAATAAGAAAGATCCAACAACAAATTTATATCTTAAGATATAATTTTGTTGAGCTCATATATTTAAACAATATTATGTATGTCAGATAAACACTAAACATTATTTCTATTGCTCAACGAGTAATATGACTTATTTATATCTTTAAGAACTTAGTTTAAAGTTAACTTCTCATTTAAAGTTATTTGATATTTAAGTTTACATTAATGTTTAAATAATAAATTAATTTGATTTAAAAATACTCTATCAAAGTTAGGGTAAAGGGTTCTAGTATTGATAAGTTTGTATAAAATAGGCCCATTCCCGTTTCTAGAAAAAAATATCGAAGGTAAGAAGGCCTATCTTAAAAAAAGGAAAAATGGCAATCAAGTTATCAACAGTCGGATATTTAAACTCGCCTCAGCAGCCTTGCATACCATTTATTTATTTATCAGCCTCGCATTCCATATATTTATTTATCAGACACCTGGACACTGCAAGCGCTGCAACTATTGTTTATCTATCGGATTAATTATCGGAAATCTAGACACGGAAACATTTTTTTGTTATCAAAACTATTGTCTAGAAAAACTTCATGAAGAACCAGGTTAAGTAAAATGTCTAGTAGAAGAAGTTAAAGTGGAGGTACAATATGATAAACGTGCAGATGTAGGTATAGAATTTCCATATGGTGTAGGCATGTGAAAATTTTTTGATGTTTTGTGCAATTACTTCTGATTCAAAGAAATTACTAAATGTTAACACATTCAGAGCAGATTTAGCACACCAGAAGCTTTTTATCCTAATGATACATTTAAACAATGTTGTTAAGATTCCTTGTTTTTACGAAAGCAATAACTTTGGTTAGAAAGTTCTCCTTGATTGGCTGTGTTGTTCTCCAAAAACTGTAGTGATACTATGTGCTCATTGTAAGTTGTTCGCAAAAACCAAAAAAACGTCACTTTTAGCAACTAGTGTTTAGTACAATTAGAAAAATGCAGTCAGGGAATAAATCTAGGGTTGATTTTGAAATTTTAGGTGGATTAGTATGCTCTTGTTAAAGGCATATTTTAATACTCTATAAATTAGGGTATTTATTTCTACTCATTGGATTGGATATACGAAGCATATAGATGAGTAGACAATACTATTTTTTTTCTAAATGTGCTGCACCCTATTAGTATTGAAAAAGTTATTTCTATACACACTACAGCAAAGCTGTAGTATTTATAGAAATTAATACTACAGCTTTCCTGTAGTGAAAGTTTTTTTTCCTTCTTCATTAGTACATATTTTGTTGTTTTTTAAACAAGATATATATACAGATAATATTTTTGTAGTACATATTAATAAATCAAATTTTTTAAAAAAAGCCCACTGCAGTATGAGAATTTTCTCCTGTTTCCATTTTACTTCCCATTAAAATCTTCTATTAGCTTATTAAATTTTTTCTTCCCAGTAATTCAATATATATATATATATATATATATATATATATATATATATAATATATATATATATATATATATATATATATATATATATATATATATATATATATATATATATATATTTAACATCTTTACTTCCAAAAAAAAGCTGCAAGCAACCGCTATTATAGTTGGAAACTAGATAAAGTTTGTAGAGCACGATTAATAGACGGCTTAAAAGGTTGCAATTTATATGAATCAGTAAAACATTATGAAGGAGGCAAATTCCAAAGGACTGATGTTTAAAGAAAAAAACTAGATGAATAAGAATTTTATGAAGCACTTAGGAACAGTCACAGTAAAAGGATGAGCCATAATTCAATGACAAATGACACAAGAATGAATTTCAGTAGATGGCATAAGAGACGCTAGCTCTTTAGAGTTGTGCTCGTTATAGTATTTATAGAAAATAAAAAGAGAAGCAACATTACAACGATGTGATAATGGTTGCAAGAACTGGTCCAACAATGTTTACAATGCGTTTTTGCGTCTTGTCTAAAGGAGAAAAAGTGTAATTTGAAGATTCGCCCCAGATATAGTAACCCTATTCCATACAAGAACAAAATTGATATTTATAGAGATAAAGAATAGAATCCGTTGTAAGAAAGTAGTGAGCACAACAAAAGGATGCAATCTTAGCAGATGGTATTTTTGCAATCAATTTGATATAAATTTCTAAGAAAGATGTTTCCAAGTGAAAGGATTCCAAGAAAGAGATACGAAAAATGTAGAAAGAAATGTAGTCATTAAGTACATTTTTTTCTACATTTACCGTACATAAACATAGGAAGATCTAGATTATTGCGATAACAATTAGCTGCAAAAAATTGTGCTTTATTTGAGTTAAAGTTCACCATACTGTAGCAGAAATAAGACCTTTTTCAAGCTCAAATGGGTCCTCCAAGCAATTAGAGAGTGTTGGCTTCTTATTAAGGCAAGATTAAATGGTAGTACCATTAGCAAACAATGCCACCGTATAAATGGGAATTTCTTGGAGATCGTTGATGTAAATTAAAATGAAGGTTAAGGAAAGAACTCATAAAATTATAGGATATGAAGAAGAGTGCTGTCTTTTGTGGAAAACTTTAAAATACGATTGGTAAGGGAAAACTCAATAATCTTAAAGATGTTACCTGATATACCGTATGAAGTGAGCTTTTTGAAATAAACAGCATGCCAAACTTTATCAAAGGCTTTAGAAATGTTGAAAGCGATAGCCTTAACCTCTTCGCATCTATCTAATGCACAATAAAACCTATCGGTTATTACTGTTTACAAATCAGCTCTAGAATAGAACGAAATCTATATTGATGATCAGAAAGTAAATAATTCAAGATGAGAGATCAAACGTTGTTAATTAATTATTCAAAAACCTTGCTCATGATAGTAAAAAAACTAGTGGGGCAATTGTTAGACAAGTCAAGTTGCTTACCAGAATTTTTTAAAATAGGGATAACAGATGC